TGAAATTGATAAAAATGAGTTATTAATGGTGTTGCTTTACAGTACCTGGCAGAAGGGCTTGTATTGTTATGTCTTCCAAGTGTAAATAAACCTTTTCATATCCTGGTTTTACCCTGTTTTCACTGCTGCTTACATGACCTTATTAGTGTAAAAACAGGTTGTATATATTGTGACCTGTAGCAAACACTGTGTTATCAGCAGAGAATGCTAATAGTGTCTTAATAGGTGTTTCTTCAGGACTGGGTTTGAGGTTCTGGTTCTGGATTGAGTGTTGGTTTGTCCATGCACTGCTTCTGGAGAGTCAGGGGCTGAGGGAAGCTGTGCAGGTCAGCCAGTGGAGGGATATTTGCTTCATAGGTTATGAGTACCATATGAAACAAGTCCTCAGATCAAACCCACAGAACTGAGGCCAGTCAGGAGAATCTGTGGACCCATTCTTTTCTTTTAAAGGCTGTTACACTAGTTGTCTCTGAAAATCTGAGAAAGGTTAATGTGAGTAATAAATGAATTAATCCCTTGTGAGTACCAAGTTGAAAGTAAATAGTTCATATAGACTCATGATTAGGAAAATCAGGCTCAGGTTTTCAGAAGACAGTGTTTTCTATTTTCACTTTTTTTGATGTGGTTTAGTATGCAGTAACTTATATAATGAAATATAGTACAAATCACAGTGAATAACTAAGTAGGCTGAACTGATGTTGGTGCTGGAATACGGTTTATTTCATTATTTTTAACTACTTGAGGACTTGTAGCTCTGTGGGTTTAATTCTCCATCGGCAATGGCTTTCAGTGGTACTTAAATAACAACTGCTACACCAGACTAGTGGTTGTCATTCCAATATCCTTGCATTATGTGGAAGCCAATAGATGATGTTTGTAAGGAAGGAGACTCTTACTAGTAGTATAAAGGGCTTAAGTAATTGTAGAGGCTTTGGCTGGGTAAGGGGATGGGCTTCCTTCCTTGGTCACCACAGTTCACATCCCAAAAATATTTTCCCTGTGGGACCTATGATGTAATTGTAGAGGAGATGAAAATTCTCATTATATTAGCTAGTAGTTCCTGCTAACATCAGATTTCAACAGTACTACTCACTGCAAGTGTTCTTAAAAAAAAGAAAAAAAAATCCTGTAAAAAATTTGTACAAAAAAAGTAAAGCTATAATATTCAAGTGAGATAATTTCCCTATTTATAATTCAGAATCAATATGTGTGATATTACTCTTGTTAGTATAACCTTCCATTGGTCTCAGCCATGAAAACCTGCACATATAAAATCCCTAGTTGGGGGTTTCAGTCTTGGTCTCTCCACATGTAACAGAGGGGAATTCAGGCAGTATGGCTTTCTCCTTGTATATAACTCTCCTTGTTCCTTTTACTTATGTAGGAGACAGACACCTGAAGTGGAAGTTCAGTAACTGAATAGTTGTGGTTAAATGAGTGGCCCTGAGGCTTTTAGAGAAGAGAGTGTTTTAAGGAATTACCAAGGTGCCATTGCGAAATGCCCGTGGTCAAAATGAGGCAACTGTGGTAACAGGGGCATGGCAGTGCTTGCACCTTTCAGAAGGGAAAAATGTCCAATAGTGTGAAGGTTTAAAATACACGAAGTTGGATTTCATGTCAAATGCAACAGGATCTCTGAGATAAGTTTCAGTGACATCGAAAACTGAGAATCTCATATATTGTTTAAGTTAGGATGAAGTTATTGTTCAATTGTTATTATCAGCTTCTGTTCTAAAAATGCTGAGGAAGTTTCAACAAGGTAATAAAGCCCAGGGGTTTTCAAGGTAGTTCTAGTGCCTGCGCAGCTTTCAAAACTCTAAGTTTGTACCTGCAGGACACGTGCAAATGTCCTTTTTGTATGTAGATGGGGAAACTTAAATTACTTGATACGTCCACAGTGGTGTCACCATATTGAGACTTGTGTAAGGCTAGTCCTTGGACTAATTTGTGTAAGTCAGTGTGAGTATATCTGTGCTAACCTGCAGTCAAAGCAGAGCCTGCAGTATTTCCAAGCACGTTTACAGTTGGAAGCATTTTAAAATTTCAGTTATTACAACAATTTTTGTAATACATCAGCAACAAATCTAAAGGGCATTGTTAATATGCCTTCAGCTAGTTCAACATTTAAAATACTTACTATCCTGTACTTGTCTGAACCAGAACACAGCCTAGTCACTGCTGAACACCTCAGGGTACTACTTCTGCAAAGCTTTTCTGGGATTTTTAAATTAGTTTTTCTAATTCCAGAGAGAAGCAAAAAGTATTCTATCACCTTTTCTGAAATTTCATTCAGACCTTAAATTAATGAGCAGAATATAAGCCTATTTCTGAACATAAGTTTGGGAGGGACAGTGACTGAAGCATGAAAAACAATCAAATAATATGAATGGAAGTAATTTTCAGAGTATGCATTAACAATTAATAATACTGCATCTTGAGAAAAATCTGTGTGTTGTCAGTTGCTGTACATTTGGATCATCTGAAGCAGGAAGCTGGTAACAGCACTGCACTGTCACTGCATAGTGCTCCAGGTCTGGAATGGTTCAGCTAAAGTTTTTAGGGATGTATTTGCTTGTTGTGTGGTCCTGTGTAAAATTATATCTGCTGTAAATATCCAGACACCTAATAAATTCAAAGAAAAAGAGTGCTTTTTCATCCTCTTCCATCCCTTTGTCTGTGTGAATTGATTCATAGCTTTAATTAACCTGCCTTCTTTCACAAAAAATCCTCTTCTGAAGAGTAAAAATTTATGATATTTACAATATGCTTTGTTCTAGGTACATCCTTTGGTTTTTAAATTGTACTTGTAGTATTTTCTGGAAATGTTAATTGTTAACTCACTGTGAACTTGAAGAGGTAAAATTCGTGCGAGTGCCTGTTTCTAAACTATGGGGGGGTGTATGTTCTATATAGGGAGGTACAGATTCTTTTAAAATCAGTGTCACTTTCTTTTCAAGCATTTCAAGAAAGGATTTCTGTAGAGAGGTATGTGTATTTCAGACTCTAAATGCATGGTAAACAGTTGTCAGCTCATTTCTGCTTGTCTGCTGTCAGAAAATCTGTTGTAGGATTATTGTTTGTCTTAAACAGTTCAGCAAAAATTATTGTACTGGCAAGTCCTAACCATAGTATTTAAATGATGAAATATATGTAATCAACATACTGTAATTAGATCAATTAAGTAATACTGGTTATACATGAATTTAGTCCATGGATACTCAAATCCAGAACAGTTACGTGGAGTTACATTGGAGTCAATGTAATTGACGTTACATACGTCCTGAAGTGCTTTTTTGGATTAGGGCCTAAATATTTTTTATTTTGAAAGAAAATGCTGTTCAGGTCCTGGATTTTAGATACTCTTGCTCATAAAAATAAAGGTTGCAATGTAAATAAGTGATTAATTAGGAGGTCACTACTCCCAGCTATTTGTGAACCTGGGTCTTGCCAGATTTGCCTGGTCCATTTACCTAAAGTGCATATAACTTGGGTCAATAAACATATGATGATAGACTGAGAGTCTGAAGAGAAATTGATTCCATGAGGCAGGTGCTGGTGAAAGAAGACTGAGTTACTTCACAGAAAGAGAAGTACAAATCAACTATGTGAATAAAGATTTCAGGTAAATACAAGCTATTGTAGAGTAACTGTTGTAATGTACCTCCACTTTTGTCTGATGTCTTATTGCAGTTAAGAGTCAGCAAGCATTCTTTTAAATACTTATATTTCCTGAAAGAAAGTGCTTTCAACTGCATTTCCTTCCTCATGAATATAAACTATGACCTGAAAATTTTAAAAAATCAGACAGCCCTTCTTCTCTTTCTTGAATCTGTGGGTGTGATGCTGCTAGAGGTAGAGGTGAGTGTCCCTCTGGAAATGGGTTCCTGAGTAAGGAAAGCATTGCAAAGAATAGTAGCTGAGGATAGAATGTTATGTGGATTACAGGGATTAGACAGTGGACAAATGAGATCTCTCTTGTGTTTTTACGGTCTTAGTCTTGATATTTTTCTCTTTCTCCTCCTAAACCTATTTTTTACATACATGACATAAGAATTTAACGTAGGCTTTAAACAGAGAGTGCTTTGGAACTCTCAAAATTTATTTTTAGAGCTTTATATTTGGAAACTTCCTGGTTGGTGTGTTCAATGGCCTCTAATTAGATTGTTGTCACTGTAGATCACAGCACCTTTCAGGAGGGTTAAAACATAAGGCAGAAAAATGTAATAAATATAGTTGATGGTCTCCAAGATGTATTTCACTTCAAGCATTTTACATTCAATTAATTACAAGTAGCTGCTTTGCCTGCAGGACAACCTATTTAATGTTCGTCTCCTATCCCCTCCATCTTATACAAACTTATCATTTAGGGTAAAACCAGAAGTGTTTTCCACCTACATAACATTCCATTATGCACTTCTGTTGGTCTGCCAGCATTGCTCCTGTCCTTTTCCTGTCTTTCATCTTTGCATTATACACAAGGAGCTTTATCATGAAGCTCTTCTGTGTGGTTACTACTTTTGCCCTTGGACTGCTACATTTCACAATATCCTGTTCCAAGGGCAGGGATTTCATCATCTGTAACATTGTTTTTCTGAATAGAATACCTGAAAATTCCCAGGTGTAGAAGTAGTATCATAATTTTGTGATAAAATTTAAGATGAAACATAGTGCAGAGTTCTCGACATTGAGGAAGTGCTAACATGACTGAATCCAGATTTAAGAGCATTCTGCAGCAGTGTTGGAATCAAAACTAATGGCTGTACTCAGCTTGGATGGGAGGCACAGTGCTGTCAGGGTGTCACTCTGGTATTCATGATTCACATAGCAAAGCCTATCCTAAAGAGCTGGCACTACTGGATCTATGGCAGCTGTTGCAATGCATAATTAATGCAGCCCTGGGATACAGTTTCAAATACTCTGTCAGTGCATGTAGGAAGTCTGCAAAATGGACAGTAGTTTCAGTAGTCAAATATTTCTTTTTAACCAACTTTATAACTTACTTCTGCAAAATTGGGTGAAGAGAGGAAGGATTCCCAAATAGCTTGTAATTGAGAGATTCCAATGGAAGTTAACCTCATTTTCCTTCTCTACAAATAGCAGGGAAAAGATGAATTAATGTTTATTTAGTCAGTTTCGGGCAATATACAGCATAAACAACAAAATGAGTGAAGAAAGAAACTTCTACTTGGTTATTTTAGATCTAAGTATGTCAAAAAAGACACTGGATGAAGTAAAAAGTCTGTCAACATTTGGGTTGTGTGATTAGAGAGAGATGGTTTTGAAGCAAGCTGGTAGGTGAAGATTTCTAAAGGAAACACTTTAGTCAGCAAGGTATGTGATATTGAGAACTGCTTTTCTGGCAGGTTGACAAAATCCAAAGTGGCCATTTAACACCATTTCCTTTTCTACTTGCTGAAAGCCTCTGCAGTGTGATAGGAAGAGGGTCTTGTCCTTTCGCTGTGACTGAGTGTCCCAGGCAGAGGATGTTACTGGAGCGTGTGTTACATGTTCAGTTATATTCTAACCCACACACGTTTGATTAGCTGGAAAAAAGCTGCCATAATAAGGAATTCTCCAGGGGAAAATTTTGAAAAGAAGTTACATTAAAGAGAAAAACTGATCTAAGTATGTGTTGTGGCTGTTGTGCTGTGCATTTGGCTTCCTTGAGCAGCCCTGTGTATTAGGAGTAGAGAGACTCTGAGCAGGGTAGTAAATACACTGTGTATACTTTTTTCTTGTTTGATGTGCCTAGGAAAAATATAAACCACAGCTGTTTGAAAGATCCAAATGTAAAAATCTAATCTCCCTGACCTTAGACTTCGTTCCTGCAGTGCATGTGTTTTTACAAGACTATCCTTTGTTGGATATGAATTATGTAAATTACTTGAATTGTATTCCCAATGCCCAAAGTGGAAAAACCTGCTTTATGTGTGAAATTTAACAGATGAGAAGTAGAAATCAATTTTGAAATTTTGATCTCTACTCCACCAGTTTTAGCACTTTGATTAAATTAGTTAAGTTCCATGAATTTCAAGTAGCTGTAAAGTAGTATCTTAGATTTAGATACCTTTATCTGTACTACTCTTAAGTAGAATGTTATTTCAAGACATGTTTCCTGAAATGCTTTGACTTTAATACAAATCTGAAAACAAAATGTGAAAAAAAAAGGTTTTGATTGTGTCTAAAATACATGAGGGTTTTTTTTTTTAAAGTTGGTCTTTGAGAGATGTAAAGGTTATTAGGCTTTATTTTGTCCTTTCTTTACAACATAAAAGACCATGACTAGGGAGAGCAGCCTGACCTTAAGATCCTCCACTTAACAGTACTAATATGGGACAATGTTTTTCCTCAGTCTCCTATGTGCCACCTTACCTTTAAAACACCAAAACAGTTTGTGTGAAAACTTGTAGCAGTCATGGAAAGAAATCTACTATGTGTATTATGGTAAACTTTCGTTCTTCCTGAAGATAACAATTCTTTCCACACTTGTGAAATTAGACTGTTCACTTCTTCACAGAGAGTTCGGAAAGACTTGCTTTTGCACAGGTATTTGTAACCACTGGAATTAGTAACCGGGTCTGTCATGGAACTCTTTGGCTCTGAAAGATATGTAACAGTGAACTATAAAGGCTGACTTTTCCAGCTGGTATCTTTTTAAATAATGATTATGAGAAGCCTGGAGAAATGTTATGAGGACCACAGAGGCACTGTGGTAAACACACTCGCCCGGTATGGGAATGATAACTACTGGACTTGCATTAAAATGTACTGTTGTGAATCTGGCTAATGATTGCTGCTGGACTGTGAAACAAAGAAATCATGTATCAAATGGAATAGCTGCAGTTTTGCCACACAAAAAGGCAAATATGTGTATTTCATGTCTGCCATAACTAATTTATGTATACATATAGAACTTGTTTCTTCATAGATTGACATTTATACATGTAAACAAGAGCTAATCTGATATAGAAACAATCAGAAGGGATGTGGACTGTATTTCAAGTACAGCCCTCCCCTCAAACAAGTAAAAATCAAAGAGAGAAACCTGAATTTGAAGGCATTTTTTCTTAGTTTTACAAGACAGTTTTGTGCAATTCTTTATTCTTTTCCATAACTCTTATTGATAAGTGTATTCTTCCTTTGCTTACAGAGACTGCACACTGTTGAATAATATCTGCTCCATTTTTATGAGTAGACTCCTCTTAATTGACTGTACTTGAGCTGGATGTATAACAGATAACTTGGGGGGGGGGAATTATTTTTCTGCAGAGTATGATCCCTAGTTAATAGATGGGATTTTACTAACAGTTATGGGGGAATAACAATGTATTTTTTTAGCCATGGACAAACATTGTCTGCCTAAGATTCACTTAAGTAAGGCACTCCCCACCACTGAGGAAAATTAAGGGCCTCATGCCATGTTATAGGCTTGGGTGATGCTTAAATGAGCCAGAACAAAGAACCTATTTGGAAAGAAGTTACGTTAGGATTTGGTCCAGTTACTTCATATGTGTCCCCTTTTGTTGTCAACTGCAGAAGGCTATCCCATAATGGGTGGCCCTGTCAAAGACCATTTAGACATAAGAGAAAGAGTCTCCTAGTAAAAATGCAAGTAAATTTTTCATCTACCAACAACAATGAGCTGAAATGCTTGCAGGGAGGAAAAACAGAGCAGTTTATTTCATTTATTTATTTCCTATGAAAGGCTTGGAACAATTCTGCAATGCAGTTCTGACCTTTTCATACACAGAACTAAGTGGCAAGGGAAGCTGGGCTTCCTGTCAGCTCTTACAAGCTGCTATTTCTCTCCTTTTTCTTGTGGTCAATACTTAGCCTTTCTCTAAAGCCTGTCTTGATTGTTATTTCAGTTAGACCATAAAGACCCTCACCTGCTACTGCCAATGTGTTTCCTAGCAGAAATAGATTATCTCAAATGACAGGATCCAGGCAAAAGTTCAACTTTAATGTCTGATGCCTTATAGAAAACTAGCACCATGCAATACATGGCTTAGCTGCACTGCACTGTCAATATGTGCTCTATTCAGGGTTTGCTTTGTCTTTCCTTCAAAACTATTTTAAATGCAGAGATAGAATAGAACCTTTTTCTTGTAAAGAAAATATATTTCTGGCTTTATTTAGGATGAGATGACAGTAAAGAACAGTGTAGGATGATGATAGGAAAAGTATTAACAGTGAAAAAGAAAGCAACAGTCTGATTTGTAAAAATGATAAAATGAGGCAAATTTCAAAGCCAAAAGGGAATATTGTTTATTGGGACTGATGTGTGGGAGCTCAAATAATGAGTAAGCTCATGTGTGATGCCATTTTTAAAATAGTAAAAGTCTTCACAGTTGAAATTTAAAATGTGAAATTAGCCTAAAATTTTGAGGAAAAGGGACCATGTTCTGTAAAATGCCTCATGGGTTTAGTGATCATTAATTAGAGTGAAATTAAAACTTTGCTTGAAAACTGTGATTTAAAATTGTTTCGTAATAAAACAACATGAATATGTATACAAAGGTGAACCCTCAAAAGTACTGATTGGTTCTATGACTCGTAATCTGCAGCTCTCCCTCTCTGTTTCTGTAATACTGTAATTAAGGAGAATTACTTACCATGAAGGAGGCCTTGTTAAGCCTAATGCTGGTAATAAAAGGAGCTAAGATGGATTTTCTTCCATATCCTGAGCTTATTCATGAAAAACCTAGTGGAAAATAAACAAGAGGAAAGACTTATTGGAGGCTGAAGTGTCAGATATCAGAAGACTTCACATGAAGAGGTAGAGCAATCTAGCATGTTTGAAATAAAAAAAAAAAGAAATCTGTGGGTCCAAGGACTGATTACTTTTCCTCTGTTCCTATGACATCGTGTTTTGTAAAAACATAGTGTTTTGTTATTTCTGGGGAAGGCGCTTTATGGAATTCTAACTTAGGAATGCTGACTTATGAAAAGTTCTTTGTAGATAAATTGTGAAAAAATTTCTTTACTACAGAACACATTCAGCCCGTAGATTGTGATATGTAGAAGAAGATAAGAGATGGTGTTAAAACAAAAGACTGTAAAAACTTCCATAGTAGACTATTCTATGCAAAACTGCCACACTTAAATGGCACCCCATGCCATCCTAAATGCTACTGGTAAGCATACTGATCAATTGAGATGGAGGAAATGTGATTCTGATATTTAGAATATATGTGTGTGTTTAAATGTGTATGTGTTTAAACATATATAAGGTTTTAAACATACACATACATATGTATACATATATTTTTTTATGTATGTGTAAATTTTTGTGATAGATATGTAAAAAAACAGGAGCCCAAACAGAAGGTATTATAGTCTCTTAATGTTTAAGAGGTGCAGCCTTTTGGTAGGGAGAAGGATCAGAGAAGCTGCACCATTTCAAATGCGGGTCTCTTTTGTCTGATGGAGAACTGATTGGTAATTTGAGCATTTTTCCTCTCCCTATTGTTTTCTTATCGTACTGCCATAGTCATTACTCACTGACAATATCATGCAGGCTAGAGGGATCAGTTGAAGGCCAGGTCAAGGATATGAGCAGCAGACTACTCCACTGAAAAGTTAAGACAAAGCTGCCCAAAAGACCTGAGCAGTGAGTGGGCAAAGATGTTGCAGTGCAAAGTGATGCAGCAGCTAAATACTCTGTAGCGAGTTTCATTTAAAGGTATAGACACAGCTTGTACTGTCCTGCACAATTTCTTCCAGATGTTACTGCTTGACTGCTTTTTCTAGATTGAGCTGTCCTTGTGAAGAACATTTCTTAAGAGAAATGACTGGGATCGCAGCATATCTACTATACCAAAGGGCATGCAAATGATAGAGTACTCAACTCCTTTTTGCTTCAGTCTTTACTGGTAAGGCCAATGTTCAGGACTTTCAGGTCTCTGAAACCAGTGGGAGTGCTGTGAAACTCCTCAGTTAACTGGATTTATATAAATCCATGGGACTTGATGGGGTACAGCCACAGCTGCTGAGGAAGCTGGCTGATGTCATCGTGAAGCTGTTCTTGACTAAGGTTGTGGCGTGCTTGGACTACACAACATTCCAAAGTTCCTGTATGAAGTAAG